CTTCCCGTACGCCTATGCAACCGGACCCTGTTCGTTAAATTTGTAGTTTAGCGATATTTTCAGGGGTTTTTTTGTCGTTTAATAGCAGTGTCAGTGTTGTGTTGAAAGCTTCGAACACATGTAATTAGATCTGTTAACGTTTAAATAAATTAATTTAACGGACCACCAGTCTAGTTTCGTTTATCGCAAGAAAGCAACCATGAAAACGTTGATAAAAAGCTTTATTTTGAATAATACTATTTATCGCTTAAACGTCCCTTGCACCGCAATAGTAGCTACAGATGACTAATTGTTTATATAATGCTGGTTTCACCGTACGCGCAAGTTTGATTTTTGTTCTGGCGGCTTGAATGGCAAATGATCCAAATGATCCACAAAAAGCAAATGATCCAAATGATCTACAAAAAGCAAATGATCCACAAAAAGCAAACGATCGAAATGATCCACAAAAAGCAAATGATCCACAAAAAGCAAACGATCCAAATTATCCACAAAAAGCAAATGATCCAAATGATCTACAAAAAGCAAATGATCCACAAAAAGCAAACGATCCAAATGATCCACAAAAGGCAAATGATCCACAAAAAGCAAACGATCCAAATCATCCACAAAAAGCAAATGATCCAAATCATCCACAAAACGCAAATGATCCAAATGATCTACAAAAAGGAAACGATCCAAATGATATACAAAAAAGTAACGATCCAAATGCACCAGCCAAAAAGCCTGAAGATCCAAAAGAAATACAGTAGGTAGCTAAAACTATTATTTAAAAAACAAAGAACAAGATGAAATGATATAATTCTATTATATCCTATTGGTGTGACGTCGCTCTTGACTTGTGACGTCAATAAACCAAAATTATACTAAACTAGAAAATACATGCATGCAGAAACCCTCGCCTTGCTGACAAAACCATTGTATTTTCCGAACATGAAGTATCTAAAGTAGTTAATTTTTTAAGAATATTCTTACAAATGAGAAATCGCCTAAAAATATCACTTTTAATTACAAAATTATCAATTTCCCAACATGTTATTATACGTAATATAAGCTTCAATTTAAGGTAAAATTCAACCACAAACGCTTCGCAAAACGTTTTAAAGTGTTTTTTATAAAACTAAACGGCCTTTAATTAAATGGCTTTATCGAGTTTGCAATAAAATGATTTCAAATTCTCGCATGTAAATAACTTTGCTTTCTTTTTTACTTAAAGAATTAATTCACTAATAAAAAAGGGAATCAATATTAAAGATACACTGAAATTATATGCTGTCTTGTTTAGTTGTTTCATATACGCAAAGCCAAGGTCGCCGAGTTTTAAAGCAATTATAAAATCAATATTTAAAACAAAGTTACCTTCGTTAACGTCAGCTCCCTTCTTTTAGCCGATTCTTTCGCCCTTTCTTTCTGAGAAAGCTTTTGAAATTTACAAAATCTTGCAAAAATGAAATATATTTGCAAGAAATTTATCAATCATCAAATCAAGAAATGTTTGCTATTTCGCTGTCGTCATGCAGTCGTTAAAAAAAAAATTAAATTGGACCAATCAGTGTCCGCTATTCATGACAGTCCGCCATATTTTTGAGATCAGTGAGGATGACCACCCATCGTTGGTGACCCACGCCCGCGATTATTGATGAACTTTAGACTTCGCTAATGCTTTCGTTTCCCCGGGTGTAAATAGCCGGGGGGAATTAGTACCCTCGCACGGCGCTTCGCGCCGTCGGCTCGGGGATAAAATAATACTCCCCCCAGGTCGGATCCAGGGGTATCTCAACCTCCCTAATATTATACGGTTGACTGTAATTTAAAGTTGTCGAATTTAATTGTTTCAGAGGTATAACTTTGCATGGTGCAATAACTCAACTTAATTGCATTTGAATCGGGACATTCAAAATTCGGAACGCAATAACGGCAGTGATTCAAACGACATACAAAATACATTGTTATTGATTTGGCAGCGACCAGACATTAAGTGAATTTTGAGTTAGATTCGGCGTATAAGCAAAGAAGCATATGAACTGGGCGACATTGAGCGCAGAGACTGCGCGCAGGCTATAGGCAACCCGAGGCATTAATAACAGAGCCGGCTTAGGAATTTGTAATGAGTTCCAGGAATCCCATTTTCGTTTAAACATTGTAATTAGATATTGTGGTATATATTTAAATTTTCCTTTTATCATACAGTTCATTAGCGAAGCCGTTCGGAAAAACACCAATTGCAAATAGGCATTAATGTTTTCACGTCCTCTGTAAATATTGTCTTTTCAGTATAAAATGGAAAATTAATTTTGAATATTCACGATTTAATTAGATCCGTATTGTTGGAGAATTATTACTTGTTGAAAAACAAAAAGTATCTTACTGATGTAAAACAAGATCTAATGGGTTTGAATTTTTCTACAAAAGTTACACAACTGTCGTTGCTATGGCAACAATGACGTTTCAAAATGACGGATATTTGGGCTTCAAAATAATTTAAAAGGTCGGCTCGCACTTGAAAAATATTTTCCCTCGGCCTCAGAAGCGTCCCTCGACCTTCGGGAAAATATTTTTCATTACGGACCTCCAAGCCTGTAAATATTAACATATATATATACTAAGTTAAATTGTTTTATGAAATAAAATTTAGGGTCGAGTTAACGGTCATTGCAGTTAACGGTAATGACAATAACGTATTTATTTTTTGATGGCTTAATTAAATTCCTAAAAACTCCAGTGTTGGAAATAGATTTGAGATCAGTGACAGTTGTGTTTGTTACTTTAGTCCTGGCAAGCATGGCTGACATCTTGCTAAAACGATGCGATATTAGAAAAAGCCTTTATTTTTTATGCAATACATGTAGATGCTATATTTTACTCAACAAGACAATAAAAAGGTAAACTGATTAAAATTATTTAATTTTCTGATCGTTTTAGATCAATAACATGTTTCAAACACAACAACAAATTCTACTTGCCAAAAACATTGTGTCCATGAGAACATGAACATTGAAATTTTTTCCGGACAGTATACTTTTCATTTCATTCTTAGTCTAGGACCTGTATATGAGTTTGTATGCGTTTCATTTACCACAGGTAATCTCAACTGTTTTAGGGTAAAATGACCATGGCGGTCAACATGGCATATGTGCCAAAACCTGAATCCGGGACGAAAGTCGTGAAAATGACCCCGCCCTAGAATGGCAGTGCTGACATAGCTCTAACTTCCGAAAAGCAAAAGCGACAGTCTTTCTGAAGTGCTTATAGTGTTTAGAAGGGTTGCTTTTAGAGATGGTTATTGGAAGGAAATATTTGTGTAAGTATAATATTTACAAGAAAATGACCATTCATCACCCCAGGTAAATTACTAATTATGGATAAAATAACTAATATACATGGCAGAAATTGAATATCCTTATTTATTACATGGCAAGCATTTGTTTTGATGAATCGCGCAATTTGATTGGCTGCTGACGAGGCAGCAATACGCAATTTTTATTAGTGATGGGTGATACCACCAGTATAGATTCGATACGATACCGATTACTTTTTCGTAAAAGTATCGAGGTATCGATTACCCAAACGATTACTACGCAGACGATTGTATTTCAGAATTTTCCGCCATTATAATCCATGAACAAACAAAAACTAATTTATTTTCCGCTTTTTCATAATTTACTCTGTTGATGAGGCTAGGTCAGGAATATTAATCAGGGAAGTGGATAGAATGTCAAATAAAGTATTAAAAGGAAGTTTGATTAAATTGATAAATGCAGCAAAATACAAAAAAGTACAAAAATGTTATTAGAAATAGCCATGAAAACAATGACACAACTACAGGATTATAATGAATGTCTAAATTTAAAAGTAATCGAAACACTTTTTCGATACCGTGCAGTATCGACTACTTCCGATTTGGGCCTGGTATCGGGTGGTATCGATACCCAATTACCAAGTAATCGGTAATCGCCCATCACTAATTTTTATTGCCCTGCGACGAGAGCCGAGTTTCAAACGTGTCTATTCAAAACGAAGAAAAATAAACCTAAACTAAAGAAAAGGAGCACCTTCTTTGGTTAAAGAAATTTCTCAATATGTTTTTGTTAGCGAAAGTCGAAATTACAAGGTAAATTTTACAATGACAATGTTTATAACTATTGAAGCAGTCAGGAATAGCTGTGTTTTGACTTTGTGAAGAGCTGCAAATTTTATTTGCAGATAGCCGAGGAATTTGACACCATCCTAAATAAAAAATACAACTAAAGCAGCCACAGATTTATATTTTTTCCCTGAAAATTTCTGTTTTTGTTCGATAAAAAGAGACATATTTATGAGATGAAGCGAACTAAAAACGTACTTGTCCATACTGTCTATTAATTTTATTGTTTTCATATTTGTTGTCTTTGTCTTTGATTAATTGACGAAATACCTCGTACTTTTCTTGAAATACTATCCAAACTATGTTAGTATTCTATATAAAAAGTGCTGTAGAGTAGTTTTACTAACCAAGCTTGAGAACATTTTTTACATTTGTTCTTTTTTGCAAATTTTTCGGACTTTGTACTTTGCCCTCGCGTGACCTTTTTTCCCATTTTTTACAAACGTACAATGCCATATAATAAAAAACTTACTGACCTCAACCGTTCGGGCAGTACGGGAAAATATCCAACCTCGGTCTTGCTGTAAGTTGACCTCGCTATCGCTCGGTCAATACAGCAAGACCTCGGTTGGATATTTTCCCGTACTGCCCTCACTCTCGGTCAGTAAGTTATTATTCCTAAAAAAAATTATCATGGGATGAAAAACTATGCTTAATTTAATATAATTATTGTAGTTTTCATAAGGATAGTCATTGACATTATTTTCTATAAATATAATATATTTTATTTCACTTATAATTACCCCCCACGAAAGCACGATTTCAGCCATATTTTGCCGTCTTGTTTGCTTTATATCGCCGTGTCAGTCTCGCAAATAACATCCAGTTGTTGTACTTTTACATAATGGCAAATGGCTAAAGAAGATTTCAACCAGGTTTCGGCAAGTTTTGAAGCAGTGCAGTGTATTTTATCTTCGATATTGTGTCCTTCGATATTTCGTCCAATATGCCGCCATTTTAATGGCTCGACGATTCTCTGCCCGATAAATGCCACTTCTTCGTCTTCATATGTATTTAGATTACAGTATCCAAGAGTACTTTACTGTAGAATAGTCCTAATCGAAAAATTGAAAACATTACAATACTTGCACTTGGAAGGAAAAAACCTCCCACAACAAATTCAGAATAGGAATAAAAACAAATCATTTGAAAGTCACGCGCAATCTTCGCGAAAATTCCTCGTGGCTACTTGACAGGAGGGGGCGAATATTTTCACGAAACGTTGTTCGCCAACAGCGACCACTGACAGCGACCTAACTGGATGTCTGGATATATTATATTTATTGTATTTTCATGATTGATAATAAAACTACGTAAATATTTATTGATTTTAATTTTATTTTTAAATCATAAAATACAATAAATACAATAAATTTAGTTGAAACTTGAATTGCTGTGGTGGCGAACGTTTCGTGAAAATATTTGCCCCCCCCCCCCCTGTCGAGGAATTTTCGCGAAGATTGCGCGTGACTTTCAAATGATTTGTTTTTATTCCTATCCTGAATTTGTTGTGGGAGGTTTTTTCCTTCCAAGTGCAAGTAATGTTTTCAATTTTTCGATTAGGACTATTCTACAATGAAGTACTCTTGGATCAACTCATCAACCTCG